GTTGGCTGCATGGATCCAAGGTCTCCTTAGCAGGAAAATGTATGTTGGATTGATATCTATCACTTGAAAAATGATTTCAAAAATATATGGACCGATATGTATAGGTAAGTCCACCTTCTCGATGATTGTTCTTCTTGAACCATCAAACGCCTTTACTACCAAAGCATTGGGCTTCATATACGTCCCATTAAACGTCAATTTAACAAGAACTAATTTAGATATAACATTCACTGAGGATCCAATATCAACTAAAACTATTGAAAGGACATTGTCCATATACTTCATTGATATGTACAAAGCTTTATTGTGGGCCCTCCCCTCAGTTAGCGACTCTTCGTCGCTAAAACTCAGATGTGCCTTAAGTGATGTCTTGAGTGACACGAGCTTGGTTTAAATCTTTTAGAAATGATTCTCAATGTGCCTCTGAGTTTAACAAAAACGAGAGAATGAAGATCTTAGATGGTGTTTAATGTAGCTGATCAATTGCTTTGTACTCACCTCTTTTAGTGATTTTCAAGAACTCTTTGGACTAGTAAAGGGATGTGCCCCTCTTAGCAAGGTCTCGCCCCTTGCTTGGATTTGAAATTTCTCTTCCTATTGATGTTTCTCTTAATACCTCAAAGGTTACTCCTTTGAGTTGTTCTAGCATAAAGATTCAACCACTTCAGATCATCTCATTAGTTCCCGAGTTATGGGTAATGTCATCCTCTACAACTTCCACAAACTTTCCTTTCACACTTCTCTATCTTCCATTAACAAGGGTCGGGACATTATAGTTCTACTTTACTACTTTTGAACTCTCATAAGGGAAGGGCGATGAAACATAGATAACAACTGGTGGCCTTCGAATCACCACTGGTTGTATGTTCTCTCCTTGGTAAAGGATTTCGAGAGGTCTTGGCAATCGTTATTTATTGTCAATATGTGGCACTAAGGTCAAGACATCTGCAACATATTCTTTATGGTTTATCTGTACCACACCCCGGTTCATCAATTCTTGGATGTACTTCTTTGTAACCTTGAACCCTTCTGAGTAAATGATACATTATTCACATTCATCATGGCTTTCCCTAATCAAGCTGAACTCGACTAGCTTGGCATAAACCGCAAACAAGGGAGTCTTTAATTTCTCTACTTTTTTATTTATCACATTGTGACTTGAACATTCTTTAATAGAATTAATGGATGATCCATTATGCCCGACAAAGGGTTATTTTTCACATTTGGATTGTCTTCCTTGAAGGCTAATCTCTTGTTATTGATCAACTCTTCCACTTTGGCTTTGAATGCCCTACAATCTTCAATGGAGTGCCTTGTTGTCCTAGTATATGATTTGAATTTAGCATTTGGGTTGTACCAATATGGGAATGGTGGTATCAAAGAATTAAGAGTTTATGGCACCACCAACGAGTTTTGAATCAAATGTGACAAAAGTTGACAATACGGTATAAGCATTGGGTCAAAGCGGGAAATCCTTCTTTCCTGATTGCTTCGCGGCCAAAACTAATTTTGATTTTGGTTTTGATTCTAGTCCTAGTAATTTTAGGGAGAAGTAGACAGAGAGGCTACTGATATGGAGGTTAGGAAGGTGTTGATTGGGAATAGTGAATTGGCGTCGCGACTGCTACATATGGATATGGATAATATGGTGCAGGGGTGGTAGTTGTTGATATATCGGGGGATGATAAAATTTTGCTGGCGCCCAATAAGAACTCCCAACATTGTCCATGGCACCGTTAATCTCGCAATCCTTCTTCTTTTGGAAGTTGTTGAAGAACTTATTTGTGCCACTATGGCTACTCGAAGTGCCCCGAATCTTCCCAATTTTGAGACAACTTTTTATTCGCTCCCCAATTACCACTAAGCTAAAGAATCCCAATGATACATTTCCTATCATTTTCTCATAATAAGGGCCTATCAGCACATCCATTAAGACACTTACTATTTCTCTTTTAGAAGTATTTGAAGGACCCGCCACAGTCGGGGGTGGATGGGACTCCCCGTCTTAGTTGGCAGATTGCTTCCTCATTCTTCATTGAATTTATGAATAATTATCATAAAAGGTAAGAACATTACAGACAACCGAATAGATGATAGAGGAAAAATATGTCTAAAACTCACCAAAAATGGCCTTCCCTCTCCTCCTTGGGACGAGTGTTCATCAACAAGCGGGTTTCAATAAGGCATTTCAAACATTTCCATGAAGTCTCGTTATGAGGAGTGACACCCCAACATAACTTAACACCATGACGAAAGCTATCAGATGTGTCTTCAAATAAAGTTCCTCCTTAGTCAGATCGTCCTCATTATAGATGTACAATTCATTCCTTATCAAGAAATGACCTTAATTCCAGTACTTGTGAAATAGCTCGATACATATGTCATCAACCCCGAACCCTATGATACACACTGTTGCATGAGCCTCTTTATGGAGAGGAACAACTAAGAGTAATCGGTTATCTAAATGCTCCAGGCTTTCCGAAAACATTTTAAAGCTAGGAATAACTTGCATCGGGTTAATCAAGCCATGGCCCAACGTCTGGGTCTCGGAACTACGTTGTACTTTGAAGAGGTTGAACAATGAGGGTTTTTCCCTTTGATATTCACACTAGTATTGAAACACTTTAATATATGCCTAACTCGCATGGTGGATTTGTGAAGGAGCAACCATCAAGTGGTTCAAAACTTCTATTTCAAAGCCATTGAAAGGCAACTGAAAAAGCAAAATTGAGAAGTATATTCTTAAAAAGATACGGTGCACTCACCATACTCACTACAAATTCTCATGTCTTCATTAGGAGCGAGTATACCCCAATTCGAAGAAGGTCCTACGTCCAAAAAGGCCATGTCAATGCTATTTTCTTGGGGAGAGATAGAAACAGATGATGAGATGACATAATCAACCCATGAAGCGAAAACATCTTTGGATTTTTGACTTTTTGTAGACATTACTTTAACCAGTTATAGAAATATGGTATGTTGTAAAAGCGCAGATGCCAACGAAGCAAAATAACACCTCAAGAAACCGCAAAACTGGCTTTACGCGAATGACGTGGTGACTTACCAAAATGAACTAAGCACCATCGACACTCCATATCACCTCAAAAAGACACTTGAATATTTTAGTTTCCAAGAGTCATTGTGAGGGAACCTACAAAATGATGTTTGAAGCATGTGGTGTATTAATGGTGCAAATTCTCAAGGGCATCATCGTTATCTCTTGGTTTTTCGTTCAAGCCGGATATGAATGGCACAAAGGAGCAAATGCGGTAAAAATCCTCACATTTTTAAATAGAGACAATGGCTTAGGGCAATTGTTCTAGACTGACAAGAGGAGCCAATAGGTCTGACCCAAAGAGAGCATTGATTCGTCTAAACCGTCTGGAACTTAGACGTCTTACCATGGGCCAAAATACATCCAATGACTCCTCCCTATATGCAACACCTCAAAGATAGTGGGTGGTTACAATCGCTCATCTATGAGTGAAAGCGCGACATCTCATGTACATAATTTTCAAATTCAAACTTCATTCGCTCATCTCATTCATATACGGACTTGAGCGTTGAAGTGATAACATTGTAGGTCAACCCCTCCTTCACCGCACTAGAAGTTCAAGTGCACCATTCTGCATTGCAACCAACATTCTCTGATTAATTCTGATTTTATAAATTTCAATCTTATAACTTTTATTTTATTTTAATATTTTTCTTTAAAAATATTAATTTAAAATGTAAAATATATATAAAAAAAAACTTTAAAAAATGACTTTAAAATTTGTGAAACAAACGAGTTAGATCGAGTTGTTCATAAATTTAAAATTAGTCGGATTAAAATTATAAAAAAAATTGTATCAAACAAGAATCTAATTTTAAACTAAATCAATTCTTATCAAATTGACACAAATTAAGACGAGTTACACTCCAAGCTCAATTGTTAGCTTCTCATTTGTTTAATTTTTAAAAACTATTAATAAAAAATAACTCAAAAACCCAAAGCGAAATAAATAAATCAATTAAATAAGAGCAATGCTAACTTATGTTCTCCAATCTAAATTAAGAGATAAATATATTTAAAAAAATTGGAAATGGTTTAATTTAATACAAATTTATGATTAATGATTTTGAAATTTTTATTCAAATAATCAACTTTTTCAAATAAATATCAAAATTAACCCGTTTTTTCATATATTTCTCAAATTAATTCACTTTAAAAGAAAAACAACACAATAAATTCGTCAATCTAATTGATGATAATGTAAAAACATAGAGATTTTCTCTTCTATGTGTTCGTATATTGTCGCGAATTGAATTGACGAACTCATTTTATGTGTTTATACACTGTCACTAATTGGATTAACAATTTCTTTTATGTTAAATTTTTAAAAAAAGTGAATTAGTTTGAAAAATCCGCAGAAAAATAGGTTAGATTGAGTATTTATTTGAAAAATTATTATTTTAAAAATTTGAATGATTTTATTATTTTCTGTATTTTTTAAAAATAATAAATTACACTTTCGCTGCTACGATCCACATATTTTCTTCAACTCCAACACTGAATTCTATCTTGCTTCCTCTGTCTCTTGTCAACACATCCACATTCAATTTGAAGATTACATCAGGTTATTCATCTTCTCCAATTCCATTCCCTTACAATATTCCGGTTTCTTAACTTTACCTTTTCACTTACATTTTCTATTGCAGTTCATTTCTAAGTAACCTCCATATGCATTTCTGCGTTGAAATTTCTCCCACTGTTGAAAATCTTTTGGAATCTAGTAACCGGTTTTATTCAAAAATTCTGCCTCTTATCTATTTTGTGGCTTTACCATGAATGCCCTTTAACTGTTTGCTGAAATGTTTGTTCCACCCGTTTGTATAGACTTGAAAATTCTGATGCAATTTTTGATGTAGGATACTGTAATTACACATGATTTACTATCTAGATTTGAGTAGACAAGAAAAGCAGGTTATGTAATTGATAATATCATTGTGAACAGGCGATGAGGTCTTTGCGAAGCCTTGAGGTCTGGAAACTGGGAGTTGTCAACTATTTGGATGCATTAAAACTGCAGGAAAAGCTGGTATTGGAAAGAAAATCCCATAGGATATGTGATACTCTTCTGTCTTTGCAACACCCTCCTACATATACTGTTGGCAAAAGACAAACTGTTCACAATTTACTGATCCCCCAGTCAGAATTGGAACAGATTGGAGCTGAACTTCACTACACGCAACGAGGAGGAGACATTACATTTCACGGTCCACACCAGGCCATTTTATATCCTATCATTTCGCTCCGTGACATGGGACTCGGTGCGAGAAGATTTGTAGAAAAGATTGAGTTAACTATGATTGAACTGGCGGGTATATATGGCGTGAAAGCTTGTCCTGGACAGAGGTGTGAGACGGGAGTGTGGGTTGGAGAAAGGAAGATAGGGGCAGTTGGTGTTCGGATTTCAAATGGAATCACTTCTCATGGTATGGCATTTAACATTGACCCTGATTTAAAGTACTTTAGGCACATTGTTCCGTGTGGAATTGCGGATAAAGAAGTGACATCTTTGAGAAAGGAGACAGGTTTTGACCTTCCCACAGAAGAAATAATTCAAGAGGAGTTGATTTCATGTTTTGCAAGAATCTTTGGTTATGATAAAGTGATCTGGAAGGAGGGTGCTTCTATATTGTCTGGTAAAAATGAAACTGAATGAGACACAGCTATTTTAGTCAGTAAATAGTTGTATAACAGTTACTCATTTCTTGTATTATTTTGAAGTATTTTTCCAATAAAATTCTTGATTAATCTACATATTATAACACGTTCTTTTGCTTTTGTCTATATCATAGGTTAATTAGGTGAACCCTATCTATTCTGATTTTACTTCTTTCGTACTGAGTTCTTCTATACACAAGCATGTAAAAAAATAATATAGTAAAGGATGAAAACCAATTAATTTCAGGTGATTAGTCACATGATCCATATTAGCATGTGATGAAAACACTAGAAGTGTCAGAAAAGTATAGAATTTGGTTAAGGATCACATGACAAGCTCCTTCCATTCCATGTTCTACTACACAACACAACAAAGATGTGACAGGTCCAATAACCCATTATCCATGTACCTTCCTGCCCTTTTCTCTACCTTAAATCTGAATCACTCACACAACTATGCATTGCTTTGTTCTCCACATGTTAAGATACATAAACATGAAAGATCCCCTTCCATTTTAGACTCCAACTTCAAAACATTCTTATGGGATAGTTTCAAGTTCCAAGCACAATAATTCTCTTCTTTTTTCTAGTGTCAGTTGTTGTTTGTTTCAGCTTAACCCTGCCATGGTAACCACTCAACGTGTTTTTTCGGGTCTCTTTGTATTAATGCTCTTAAATTTCATGACATGTTCTATAGTTTTGATCAATAGTAAGACTAGAAGTAATCTTATAGATAGTTTTTTGCCTCGGAAGCTGCTAGTTCATGTCTCCTCCTTCACTGCAAGTTTAGATAAGTTGGAAATATCTTATGAAACCACACAGAGATCTGTGAACACAAGTTTAAGGCAATCTCCTTACAGCAAGTCAAATCCAATCCATAATAAGCGACTTTGACATCTATTACATCCGGAAATCTCAGGGAGGAATTAATTCTACAATTTCCTAGTTTTGTCCAGATAACTGTTGATTAGGTAGGAAAGCTGGATTTGCAATCAAGATTGCACTAGCTTCTAGGATTTTGTTGAATTTTATTTTTGCATTGAATTACATAATGAGTTATCAGCTGATGTAATGGCCTCTAATGGGAGCATATTATACTAGAAAATTAATTACACATCATTGTTAAGTACTTGTATTTTATTAGATTAGATCTCTTGTCGGAGGGAGATTTCAGACTAAAGGTGTTCAGTTCTAATTAGGCTGAAAAGTGTAATATAACCAAAAATAATCAAGTATGATGCTGCAAACCATTTTATTATAATTTTTCAAAATTGAAACAGGGTAACGATTTCTTGCTTCCGCAGAAGTTTCAAAAGGTGGTTGCTTTTTAGGTGTCCATTTTCACATGGACAGTTTCAAGAGAAAATCCTTTCCTTACACTTATATTCACTGTTTTAGAGTATTGGGTTAGAGGATGTGTAACAGTAACATCATAATCCCCATAATACAGTGAAATATCTATAATTCCTCTACTATCAGCTATGTCTGTTTGAGGGCCAGTTCCCCACTTGCGAATCAGCTTGTCCACAACGTCTCCGGCAGGAGTATTTTTAAAATTTGCATCTGCAAGTAATGTACTGTCGAAACCAGCTTGTTCTGGTCCTACAAACATTATAATCCCTTTAACAGCTGGATGAGAGAACCCCTCTCTTAGTACGTCTTCAAAGTACTCTGCCTGCCCAATAAACAAAAAATGAGAAAGAAACGTTCAGTTTCTGTTTTTCCTGTGATATAATTTGGCTGATTTGTGTAATATATACCTGTTTTGGCTGAGCATCCACGCTGACTTCTGTGAGCCATATAGGAAGTCCAGTTGCAGCAAGAAGATCTAGACCTGTCCTCATGTAAGCAAGGTTTGGCACACCACTTGGAAAATGGGCTTGCAACCCTATGGCCAATGATATTCCATCAATTCCTGGAAATTTCTGAATCTCCTTAAGTTTCCTGAGATAATTGGTTGGGCTGGCATTCTTATCCCCGCTGATCTCAATGGTGTTATACTCATTCATGAACATCTCGGTGTTTGGATCAAGACGGTAAGCTGCTAAATAATATTCTGCAGAGATATTTTCGCCAAGTTTATCCTCAAAAAAGTGGAAGTGGACATTCTCATTCACGACATCCCATGCAATAACTTGTCCTTTATACCTTGAGACAACAGATTTCATTCTTTTATCAGCCGCTACTCGTAATTCGTCAGGAGACAAGGTCAAATCCCAATGAGGTTGGCGTCTTGGACTGTCCCACAAAATGTTATGACCTCTCACTGAAATGCCATTTTCTTTAGAAAATTGTAACATGGCATCTGGGATGGTATAGTTTTCGTGACCTTGAACTATTTCTGTACTATACCACTTCATCTCGTTGGTGAAAGTTGTGTATTTGAACCTTGAAACAAACCATTTCTGGTACTCATTGTTTGTGAGGATGTAATGGTTCATCGCACACCCAAATGGAAAATCTGCCTTTGTTTGTTTGATAACAACGGTTGCTCCTTCCAACGCCGTTTCGTTTGGATGAGTTACCTGGAATCTCACCCTGTTCTTACGTACCTGCAGATTATAAATTGCGAAACTTGTTAAACATTTTCACTTTCTGCTATACATTTACTACTGATTTTCATTGCAGGTTATAAATCTTGATCTGAAAATAACATAAGAGCCAGCTTTCATGTAAATTCTAGAAAGATAAAGTATTGGCAACAATGACTAGCTTACCCTCTCAACACTGTCGTCTTGGTGTGATCTCCATTGTTTTCTGGTGAATGGTTGTAAGGACACACTATCAGCCCATAATTCCACAGTTGGATTCTCAATCTGCATTGCTAGTAAATTTCAGATAACAATTTCACAAATATCAAAATACATATAAATACAATCACTTTCATTATTTTATTCATACTTGAGGAAATATGAAGAAATTTTAGCAAAATAAGATGAGATGAAAATCAATTCACCTCAAAAAGAATCTCAACATGCCTTGAAAAGGTTGCTACTATGCCTCCTTTTAGCAGAGACCAACATCCATGTTTGGCTATGACATGACCACCATGTACCAATTCGCTTCCATTTGTTTTAAAAACAACCGAAACAATCTGACTTCCTTCACTCAGCTGAAGCCAAGCTGAAATGTCGAAAATATTTTACAAAACTAACTTAATGAATCACTCACATAGTATTATAACATTCATGAAATAACCATAAACAAAAGATAAACACGAGTTACCAGAAAAAATGTATATCAGTCCTTTCTTCAGATGAACCTTCTGAGAGAAACCATCCAATGCTTGTGTTCTGTTGCGAGCAACAATGAATCTATTGCCATCATTTGATATCCGTTCCTCAATTGTTCCATTTCCAACCACTGTCCAACCCTTTATGTTATGATCAAACCCTGGATTTACTATAATGCCTCCTCCATATTGTGCCCTATAAGGTTCTTTCACACACTGCTTTATTTCAAGACATTGGTAACACAAGTAAGACATTGATTGAAAACTTGCACATACCTATTTCAGTTACTCCTAAACATCTTAATTGATAAAGAAATCACATTACCTCAGTAGTTGCAGAATAATCATAGGGTTTAGAATGGAGTTGAAACCCTGCATGTGTTGAAAAGATAGATACATACATTATATGAGAAAACGGAACACAAAAGAGTGAGAAGTGAAAGAGAGAAAAGAACCTGAAGAAAGGAGTAGAAGGCATGAAGCAGAGAGCAAGAAAATGCATAGCTCTGTTGCAACAACAACCTTCATCTTGTGACTAATCAAACCACAATGCACTGTCCTACTTATAGCAAATTTTTTCAACATGTGAAACATTGCATATGGGAAACTTCATTCAATAAATGTGTATTTATTTATAAGCTTATTGGAGTAAGATTTTAAAGAATTTTAAAAGACTTTTGTATGATTATTATTTTTTTTATATTCAAACAAAGTTATTATAAATCTCAAATAAATTTTGTGGTATTGACTTTAGACAATCACGATTTTTTAATAGTTATTCTTAAAATATAATTTTAGGTAATTTCATCCTTTTGTTATATTTTTTTTTTGAATATCAAAATTTTTAAAAATTACTTAAATTTGAAGTAATTTCAAATAGTTTTTTTTTTTTATAAAAAATCAGTTTTAGATACACCTTTTTGAATAAATTATAATTTTGACCATGTTTTAATTTTAAATAATGTATCTATTTATGTTATAAGATGTCAAAAATAGTTTTTTAATTTATAATTTTTTAAAAAATAAATTAACATTTTATAAAAGATACTTTTGAAAATTAAAAAGAAATTTTTTTAAGTTAAAAGAAAAGCTTCAAAATCTATTAATATTCAATTGAAATTTCTCATAACTAATTTGGACTAGATTGTTTTGCCTTTTTTTTAAAATGATTTTTATAGTATAACATAATTTTGTGAAGAAAAAAAAATTACAAAAAAAACTTTTCATAAAAATTTTAAATGAAAATTTAGTTTGAATAATTATTTTTAAAATGTTATTTTAGATATATCAACATTTTATCGAAAAAAATTTTGGATATCAAAATTTTAAAAAATCACTTAATTTTTAAAATTATTTTAAATAGATTTTCATAAAAAATATTTTTGAGATACAATTTTTGTTTAAAATTACGATTTCGACTATGTTTTGATCTTCAATAATATATATTTATTTTGTATGATGTCAAAATTTGTCTTACAATTTAAAAAAAATAAATATAGAAAAATTTGTAATATTTTAAAAAACAGTTTTACAAAATTCATTTTTCTAAAAATAAAACAGACTCAAAATGTCTTTTGATATTGGAGAATCTATTGATTTTAATGATATTTTCAATAGTATGAAATTTGAAAAGAAAAGAAAAAGTTAAAAAAAAGCATATCAACCATCTCCCTATAAACATGAAACTATTTTACACACTTCAAAGACTTTTGGCAAAATACCCTTTTTCGTCCATTAACTTTAACTCGGGGTCCAGTTTGGTCCCT